TGAGCTGGTATAGCCTCTCTTGCCCGGCATACTCCCGTCTCCCCCTCCGTCTCCCCCTCCTAACCTGTCTCCCCACCCCGCCCCGCCCTGCCCTTGCATTGACCAATGCCTGCTATGGCTATGTATACTGCAAATGGTGAGTACCGAGCACCCCCGCCGCTGTGCGGATCAGCACACTTACAAGTTCAAACAACAAAAATGTCAGCTGTACGTGGGGGCCAGGAGGATGGTGCAAGCAGATGACATCGGTGAGAGCACATTCTTGAGTATGCTCACGCTGTGCACATGACCCCACCCCCACCCACACGATGCACTTCAGCGCACAACCCCTGCCGCTCGGTGCTCACTGATGGTCGCGCGTATCCCACCACAACACTCGTACGTGTCCTCTTCGCATCGTAGACGAGCTGCAAACCAGTCATTGACTTGTTCCCACAGCTCACTCGGCGGCCGGCCAGTCAGCCACGCGGCGATCCCACGCCCGGGGCACAACTGGGCAGAAGAGGCTGACGACGATGCTCGGTCGTCGGGAGCTGGCCAGGTTGCTGTCAACGACTTGCGTGCAGGCGCTCTGTGCCGCGCGGGCGCTTTCAGACGCGGAGCCGGGGAGACAACACAGTACCACTGCGGCTGTGCGGCAGCGAAGGCGAGGTACGCGGGCGCGCGCGTGGGGATCGTGAATCTCGCGTTGCCGCTGCGACGCATCGACGGTACGCGCCCCGAGATGACAGTATACGGCGCGGGCATATACTCGGGCGGGCGTGAAATTGGCGAGGCCGTCGTGGCGCATGCGGGTCGTAGAAGACGGTGGGCACTCGTAATGGGCGCATATACTCGACTTTGCGTGCATGCGGCGGGATCACGAAGAAGACGGGGGTAAGAGACGTACCGTGGAGGTGGCAGCAAGACCGAGGGGAGGGGAGTGGTCGGAATCTGCGATGCTGAGCTTGGTACGTTACGTGCCTGCATGCATCCGCAAACGAGACGCGTGGACGGGCCGGGCGGAGGGCAGGGACCGGGTGCGAGGCGAAAGGGGGGGCAAGCGGAGGGCAGGCATTCGTGAACGACGGTGCGCACCTTTCCTTTCGATTCTCGCCTCTGCACCAGCTAGCCAAGACGGCGGAGACGGACCGGGAGGCGTGAGCGGGCCGGAGACGGGCAGGAGAGGAGGGCAGAGGAAAGCAGAGTGGCCGCGAGACTCGAGAGACACATCGTCGCTCTCTGGATGTCAAAACCAGCGCCTAATCTCGCAGGTCGTGAACCGCCGCAGCCACGGTCTTGGACGCACCTTCGGACGTGTACGCAGCGCGTCCGCGTAGGTTCTCCTGTCGGAAGACGTCGAGGAGGGCCAAGTATGGGGTGGGTGCCACAGTGTCAAGTCGCGCGGCTGAGAGCGCTGACTTTGCAAAGAGGCAGAGCCACTGCGAGAGGAGAACCGACGCAGCAGGTGGGCGGGGAGTCGAGCGCAACAGAGAGACAGACAATGAACAAAGGTATAGGTTGTATATAGCAGTAGCACGTCGTGGTCAAACGCAGAGAGTCCCGTCGCCACGCCCCGCATGCTGTGTGCCCGGTAGACGCCCGCGCGCGACCGCGTTCTCCAAGTCCAAGTCCCGCGCGCGGACCCTCTGTGCGCCTCCGCCTCACCGTGCAATGTGCACGCATTACCGTGTAGTATGCGTGCATTGCACTCCCTTACGAATCCGCTCTCTCCGGTACTCCCATGACAGAATATACTCAGTGCCTACCGTACACGTGTCTACCGAACGCCTCGCTCGCTCGCGCGAAGACGCCCATACAATGCAGCCACGGACAGCGACCGACGTACGTTTGTCTACGTTCATACGGTCGAGCTTCGACGATTTATTCACTCCTTCGCCTCCGAAAATTCTTCGGCAGGTTCAGGGTCTCGAGGCTCCTCTTGTTCGTGATCTGACCCGGGCGGAGTCTCCGTCAGGTCTATGATATCGTCGTCCAATGGCAGCCTCCGCCGGGGCGCGGCCTGAGTGGTCGCGGGTGGCCGACCCTGTTTGACGTCACCATTCTCAACCTCAGAATCAGAGCTGACAACTACGCGTCGCGCGTGGAGTGTTAGAAGGCGTATGCGCGTAGCCTGTGGCGTTTGTTGAGCAGAGCCGTCGGGATTCCCCGCTGAGGGCTGGGAGTCACCCTTTTGTGCGACGACGGACGTGCTACAGGGTCGCATGAATAAGAATTCTATTTCACAGGAATGCGGTCAAGACGAATCACCATGCACTCACCTTGACTCGTCCTCGTCTTCCGAGTCGGATATCTCGATCACCGGGAGCTCATTCATGTTAACATTCGCGAGCACGACGCGTCTCGCCTTCACGCGTCTGTGTCCCGACGTCAGAAGTACGTCCGAGCACAGAGAGACCAAAGGGGAGGAGGGAACATGAGTAGAGTCTCATGAGCCTCTCGAGTATGTAGACGCAGAAAGCGCAACTTGGGGGGACTGACCGCTGCCGTTCCTCTTCACTGTCAGACACGACGAACTTCTCTGAAGGCTCCGCCGCCAGTGCGCGCCGGAAACGCGCCCATCCCGGGGTAGTCTTTGTCGGGCTATCTGCGCCCGGCTTGCTTGAAGATCCCGGCAGTGTTTCCCAGCGCGGCGACTCCATGACCTTGAGTACTTCTTGACAAATACTGAACTGGACGGTGTGCTGAATGCGGGTTTTGAAGGTAGAATGGGTGGTAGTGATAGTAAGAGAACAAGAGTGAGTTGTCTACGCGTGTGGCCACTGCCTCTAGGTGCACCGTGACTGGGTCGGGGTGGCACACCGGACAAACGGCGGCGCGCGTCGAGACGCGTCGGTCTCCCCGCCAAACCAACATCGGGGCCGGCGATCAAACCGGCGTCTCACGCCTAATTGATGCGAAGAATGCAGCCACGGACAGCGACCGACGTACGTTCACGGTGGAACTTCGACGATTCATTCACTCAGGGCACGAAGTTATTCAGAGATAAGCATACGATACGATAAGTACATTGCAAATGCAGAGCAACGACGACGAGTACGGTATGATACAGGCAGGGCGTAAGTACAAGTAACAACACGGCGTGCGGCATTTCCGCACGGCTTCTATAAATCATGCATATCGTGCCGGAAAATGTCGCGCTATATCGTTCTGCGATAGTCCATCTGAAAAATCCATTCGTCCTGCCGGAAGTGCCATGTAATGCGCGGTCGTGTGCTAAATGTGCGAGGTAAAATGGTGTGATGGGATATAATGAGTCGTGGGGGTCGTGAGCGGCGTCGACGGCTGACGCGGATCCGGTCTGGCGTCTTCTATAGAATTCCGTCCAATCGTTCTTGTTGTTGTACATTGTGTGCGCGGTCAGCGCACTGTTTGTGCGCGCCCGCTCCGCCGCCCCTGTCGTCCGCTGCGGCCGATCGACGATCGGCGATCTGACAGCGACGTGCGCTCGATCACCGACAAAGGAAGGACAGGGGAGGCGAGCTGGGGCGTTGTGTATCCAAGAACGGAGGCCAGTGGTGGGTCCACATAGCAGCGGAAGCGGGCGGAACTGCAACGCGAAGCGCGTTATGAGCTCTTCTGGTAGATTTTGACGCTCTTGACCTCCCAGTCTGCAGAAAAGATGTCATGAGACACTGCGCGCGACGACGTGAATGACACGTTGGTACTCACAGGCTTCAGTGAACGAGGCGCCGTTATTAAGCACGAAGTCCGAGCA